AAGCGATCCACCTGACTTGCGGACACGCGCAATGATTTGATGCAAGACTTATGCAATCTCACCTAGTTATGACAAGATTCTCAACATTCCAATCCAAACTTCACAGCAGCTCTGGCGCAGGTGCTGCTGGCACCACTGCTTGCTGCTGCTGCGGCGGCACAAGCGCAGCAGGCGCTGATGCCGGCTGGGCCGTCTGCTGCTGATGTACTGACCGCTGTGGCGGCTGCTGTGGCGGCTGGGGATGTGGTTGGTGAAGCGTGTAGGATGTAACCGATGCCGAAGCAAAGGGGTCGTCGACACGTGCATACCCTGACGGCGGAGGGTGCGGCTGCTGCTGCTGTTGCTGTGGGCTAGCACTGCCACCATAGGTGAAGCCACCACTGGCCTCCCCTGAGGAGGTTAAGGCGCAGCAAGGCGCAAGGGCAGGGGTTGGCCAGATAAAACGGCTGGGAATGCTGTATGCGCTGGGGAACTGGAGCAAGCTGCCACACAGCCCCGCAGGTCAAGTGGCGCCGCGCCCGTCATGTAGTCTGCCCTACCGGTGGCTGCGGACTTGTGGAGGGACCAGGCAAATAACGCGCCTGCAGCCTGTGCAGAGGTGGGTGTGATGGAGCAGCGTAAGCTGCGGCGTTGAGCGCCAGGCTTGCGTTGCCATGCAACTCTGAGGACTTGCGCCCCTCAAGGTACACATGTCAACGCATGGCCTGAACACTCAGCTGAGCTAGGGGTAAGCGGTTTATGTGCACGCGCTGTCTGCCACCAGCTCCGCCCCCCCCCCCCCATGTCCCTCTGGAGAGGACAAAACACCTTTGCTGCGATGCCGAGCAGCTGGAAGAATATCAGCCACCCCCTCCCATGAAGCTCCTTGGGCCCGCCCAGAAGAACCAAGTCGATCAGAGCTGATAGCGGCGCGATGGTGTAGAACTGAAGGGATGGGGAGAGCGCGTGTGTGCACACGAGAAGGAACATGTGTGCGCATGTGAGCACATGTCGTACCCAATGCTGCTTTACCGCGACACCGTGTGCTAGCCCCTGGCATCTCGCAACTCAGCCTGCAGCCCAGATGGCTTCTGGGATAAGGGCCCGCAGTATGGCTGCCATGAGACACGTCCGATGCAAACTGCCTGCAATGGCGCTGGATGTCCAAGCGCCGCCATCGAGCCACCCTCCATCTGGTTGTGAGGCGTCCCCACCGGGACCCCCGTCCAGGCCACCAGCGGGACCAGGCCGCCAATGTGCCCACCAGCACGAGGCACTCTGATGATCCAATATAGACGGCCATTAGGCCCAGGATGGCAATGGCTCCAGAGCTGTCCGCCACCCAAACACCGGTCAGGAGCGACAGCGCCAAGATTGTGCTGCAACTGTGCAGCGCAGGGCCCAGGAAGGGATGTGAGTAGGATCACGATGTTCATCCACGCTGCAATACACATCCCCGCCGATGCGAGCCAACCAGATGTGTCGGTGGTACCAGGGCGTCGGGCGAACCCCAGCGTGTGTGGTCCATCGATCGCGCGCTGAACGCCGCGTTTCACCATTGCACTGCCAGCCGTCACCTAAGCGCCACGTAGCTGGCACGAGTGCCGCCAAACACGCTGGATGTTCCGCGATCCATGCCTGATACTTGTGCTGCCGCTCGATCTGGGCCCCAGATTGAGATGGAGCGAGTGTATACCGGGACAACCGTGGGCTTAGTCAGGGGCGCATTTTATACAGAAACGGTGCCAGTTTTCGTAGAAATGATCTGCCAACAGCTGCGATGACCAACAGCTGATCAGAACACCTGCTCCGCTCATCCGCCCAGCTCAACTGGGCACATCAGCAGGTCGGTGAGCACCAACTGCACTCCACCAACAACTTGTTTGCATTGTGTCTAACTTCATGTGAGCCCAATTGGATAGGATGTGAGTCCTGCTAGACTTGACACTCAGGAGCCATGACACCGCACGCCAAAGGCTCAAGCTATCTGACGTCACCCTTTGCATTTTTAGCTCAAAGGTGCATATGCTCGTGTCGTTCGCAGTAAAATGCAACGGCTTTACTGTGTGTATCCCTCGCTCAGTCACACCACCACAAACGTCAGCTCTACGTTCACTGTACACATGGCGTCCCAGAGTACGCGCCTGGGTGCGGACGCATCGCAGCAGCAGGCCGCACCACTCCAACAGGACGAGCAGCAACGCCAGCACCAGGAGCCCGTGAAGTCCCAAGACAACAGCTCGGCTGCCACAACAGGCATGATGCAGGTCAGACGGCGTCATGGTTGATCAGAAGGGCAAGCGCGTGGGGCACCACCTGCTTCGTCAGTGGAGGCAAGCCGTAAACGATATCTGGCCCTCTCCACCACAGGACCTGCCGCGAGACGAACTGGTGGCGATGAAGAACCGGGTGAGCGTGTTTGAGACTGCGAAACTCATTTGACGGGTTATGTTTCGGCAAGGCACCCCCCCTCACCGGCACAACCGTAATCTTGCACTCGTCAGGAAGCCTTGCTGCCAACGGCTGGCCCCTGACCCAGTGTCCACGTCGTCACCCCTAGCCCCCCCTCAGCCTGCTATCCACCATCACTCCTGACGTGCCAGGTGCTGTACGAGCAGGCCGTCCAAGGGCAGCAACCCGGGCTGACCATCATGCAGGACAAGCTGGGTGCAAACGTTGAGAACACATGTGAGGCGACACCATCCAGGGACACCAGGGCAGCGCACGCTCACTTCAGCTGTCAGATTGATTAGGGTTTACGATTCAGGGTTGCGTGGCACCGGACCGATGCTGGCTACTACTGGAGCAAAATGAGAGATTGGCCCAACTCTCTCCTCCCATCACCAACTATTGAATACATCTGCTGACAATCATTCGAATGATCCCACCCGCGGCCGTGCAACCATGGCAGGGGGAATGACCGAGAGCAACGAGGAACCCAACAAGCAAAATTAATGGGTGGCTGGGGCGCAGGCTGAACAAAGGGCCAGGGGGGGGGGCGCACCACCATTGTAAAGGTTTATAACGTCAGTGGAGTGAATATCAACCCAGAGACAAAGGGCATAGTGATACTGGTGAGCCAACACTAGCAGGACATTGTGGGCCTTGCAGCCCACAGCCGTGCCTGTCCGTGCAACGCACCAAAGGGACTCGCGGCAGCAGCAGCCCTGCTCCCCGCTGCGTGGGCAATAGGCAGGCAAGCTCCCACTTCCGCCGAACCTCCCTTGCCAAACGTCCATCCGATTAGTACGTCGGGCGTTGCGCCAAATAGAGTAGCGCAAGCATCATGTGTTTGACCCTTTCATTCTCATCAAATCCAAGCGCATATTGTGCTTTGGGGGTTGAAGCAGTCAGGACCTGCGACCAACTCAAGGTGTTAGATTGCAGGTGTAAGATTTCAGGTGTCGGTGTCACGGCCACGGAAGGGCGGCGCCAGGTCGCAGCTGTGGGTTGATCTGCACTGCTGCACCGGTACTCAAGCCGTGCCGCGCTATGCTAGCTGGCGCAAGGTGCCCCTTGCCATCGAGCCGCTGGCCAGCTGCACTGTTGACGCAACAATGCTCTTCAGGCTAGGAAAGGTGCCCGCCCATGCGACAGGGCCGGTCACTTTCCAGCTGGTGACAATTCATCACGCGACATACCGTAGGCACCGCGGGTGGGATGGCGAGTGTGATCTGCAGCAGGCAGTTCGCACGTTGCCTACGCTAGGGATTTTTCTCTGAAAGTGCTGCATCAGCAATGCGGCTGACTGCGCCCCCAACCCCCACCAGGGCTTTGCGTGTTGCACCTGAATACAGCCTTGGCAGTGGGGCCGGATCATCCATGAATTGCAATCAGCTGGTGGAGACTGCGGGCCCCAGTGCCAGGGGGGAGATGCGAACTGACACAACAAACCAAGTGCAAAGGTGCACGATATTTCCACGAAATTTTAGAGCCCTGGTGGAACGGGCACAGGCACGGATATTCCATCAGCGAGCTTGGTGCACTGAACTGTTTGCCACACTTGCATGCTACTACGTGACCCTTGTGAAACGGTGGCGGTTGGCTGCAACTTCAAGGTAGAGCAGCTATCAGTCGAGTTAAATGAAAATTTAACGTCGAGATTTCAAGCTGCATACTGGTCTAAAAGCAGATCCCTGTGCTGTCGCTGGACATGCGAGGCTGGTCACCCGGGCAGAATACCCGGCCTGAACACCGCTACATTTGAACATGAGAGCCACCCCAAGGAACTTCCTTGAATGGATGAGGAATGTATGTACCTGGTTTATCCCATACGAGTCCCTCCCCTGGATGCAGCAAATGGGACAGCGTGAGCAGATGTCGTGCCCGTCGACCATTGGCGCAGAAGTAGTGACACATGCTTGCTCCGGGTGACCCATTCAAGTGGCACATCATGTGTAGTCTTGGCCCCGCTTACACAGCATAATGCCCCTAATAAGGAGCCTCGCATGGCTAGCATGGCCTGCAAGCATCCATAGGGTGCGACGGGAGCCGCTGTCGCGCAACAACTCAATTAGCAGGGTCTGGGCTGAGGTCCCACGGTGCGACTTGGCACCGCAGGTGGCAGGCAACATAATAAAATCCTTGAATATGGCGCTGCGTGGCCGCGGCCCCTTATCGCGCCACCCGCCCCGCGTTCTCCGTAGTACACATGGCCTCAGTTCGCCACGCACTTTTTTGCAACTGTTGCGGTGTAAAGTTTACGAAATCAATAATCAGAAGATTCGCTGCGCCTGGCAGCTCTCGCTCCTCGACGCATTACGGCAGTCTCTGTTGGGGTCAGAGAGGTCCAGCCTGCAGGATTGCCAGGACTTTCGGGGGGCCGTTTGGCTGGTGTATGGCTGTCGATTACATTGACGTGTAACACTTTGCACTTGCTGAACTGAACACTGTGATCAGCGGCAGCACCGTGCTCGCTTGCCTCGTCCCGCCTGTGCTGCTCTGTATCTGTTCGTCACTGATCTGCCGAAGCGGAGAACTTCTTACCGGATACAGTTGTGGGAGCCGGCCGGGGGTGCACCATGGCAGGTGCGTTCGCTTACAGTGCACCGCTCGGGCAGTCCGCTGACGTTCTTGCCTCGGAGACCACGGCTCATATCACATCAGTGGCCATGCGGTTGCTTGTGGCCTGCTGGTGTGCCAGGATCGGTCCAGCCGGATCGCGAGTTTGGGCTCCGCGCCTCCTAAGCCATGCAGCATGCGAACTGGGCATGGGGCGCTCCGGCTCATGGGAGGCCCGGGCAAGCACCGGTGAAGCAGCCGGCCTGTTGCCGCGCGCGTCGTCGCGCTCTGCAGTGAGGTCGTACGGAATGCAGCATCCGCACACAATCCTTGCGGCCGCGGCGCGCCATGACCCTCTATGCCGCAGCCGCTGAGCTGAAGCGCCAGACGGCTACTGTGGACTGCCCAAAGTCCATGGTGGGGCGCGTAATTGGCAAGAACGGAGAGACGATCAAGGCGCTTCAGACCTACACGGGGGCTCTCATCCAGATCGACCAGACTGTGGAGCCCACCAAGGTCACGATCAGTGGCACACCGCACAGCCTCAGCCTGGCGGTGTCGATGGTCACAGATATCGTCAAGGGCACGTTCAAGGGCTTCGCGCTGCTGCGGCAGATCACCAACGCCGGCGTGCGGCCCGCCGGCATCCCTCCTGCGCCCATGGCGCAGCCGCGGCCTGTTTATGCACCGGGCTATGGGCTCATCCCGCCATCGCAGGTGGGCGCACATGAATGTGTGAGGGCGGATGGCATGTTGGGCAAGCATCTGTGCGCCTTGTTGCGGTGCCATGGACTCTGCTCACAGCCATCTGAATTCGCGTACGCCATCTTCACTCGCCGCACTCCGCTATCCCGGCCGCAGTTGTATGGCGCTGATGACCGCACTGCGGGGGTGGTGGCGGTGGGTCGGCAGCAGGGCCCCATGTCGTGGCCCCCAGCCGGCCAGGTGGTGCCGTCCCAGGTCATCCTGGTGCGGGCTTGCAGGGCACTGGTGCTGGGACTGTGCCGCCAGTGCTCAGCAGCCAGGACAGCTGCGGCGCCCAACCAGCCCCTGCAATTGCTTCTGCCTTTGCGCGCTGCTTTTGCGACGTGGGACATGCAACGCTTTTGAATTAAACAAGGCCACCCGCGTATTGCCGGACTGCTCTGCATCGCACCCTCTGCTGGACTGTCCACACCGCTCTTTGGCTTGAGCGCCCCACCCCACGCCTGACGCCCCCTGGCCCACCCCCCATCATCCTTCGCGCCAGGGTCTCCCCCAGTCTGGCGGTATGATGCGGCCAATGGGGGCACAGCAGGCAATGCTGGCTGGCGGTATGGGCGGCATGGACGAGGCGGCGATGATGGGCATGGGTGGCTATGGTGTGCCCGCGCCCATGTACGCAGCCTACCAGCCTGCGGAGTACAGCATGCAGGGCATGCAGGGTGAGACGGGGCCGATGGGCCGTTGTTTTGACGGGCAGGGGTTCTGATGATCAGGATTATCACGGGATGCAGCAGGGCTTAGGTGGAGCACGAGTGCTGTATGGGCCTTGCACGACCCCTGGATATTGCACACACAGCGCCTTCATCTGTGCCGCCCATTCAAACGTGCCACTTGCAATTGCGCCCTGCCCCCCGCATCCAGTGGGCATGATGGGCGGCCCGGGCCCCGACATGATGTACGGCGGCATGGACAGCGGCATGATGGGCGTCAGCGCCGGCGCCCGCATGTACAGCGCAGCCTCACCCAAGCCTGGCCCGGGCGCCAACGGCATGCACCGGGGCGGGGGCGTGCCCAAGAGCGGCAGCTCGTCAGACCTCGACGTGCTGGGCGGCGGCGGGGGCGCGGGCAACGGCGGCGCAGGCGGCGGCAACTGGGTGCAGATCATGGACCCTGACGGCAAGGTGTACCTCGTGAACCAGGCCGCGGGGGGTGGGGGCAACCAGTAGGCGGGCAGGCCGCGCGGGCCGGGGGCGTTGCCAGCTCCGGCCCAGGGACGGCGCTGCCTGCAAAGCCGATTGATGTGGGTGCCGGAGCATCCTGCAGCGGCAAGAGGCGGCAAGCCGACTGGGTCCCCTGCGCGGGCGGCACCTAACAAACTTGGTGTCTTTGTGTGTAGTGCGCAACATCAGCATTTGATGTTCGACCCGTCGCTCAAGCTTGCTTTGACTGCTGCGTGCGCATCCTGCGCGCATAGCTCTCAGCACGATTGTCTGCTGCAGGGCGCGGCCCCCAACCCAGTGTTGCAGTGGCGGCGAGAAGCTCTGTGCGTCAGCGAGGGAGGGGCGAGCACGCACTGCGCATGTCGGCCTGGGGTTTTGGGGGGCCACACACTCAGTTGCCGCACCCCTGTACAGCCTGCCGCCCGCTGCCCCAGCGCGTCAACCATCCCAGCCCCTCCGCCCCCCCATCCCGAGCCTCTGATCCTTACGAGCGTCTCCTTGGTCGATTCTCCGCGGCGCGGGCGCCGGTCACCCATCAGGCGCTCGCTCTGCCATACACTGCACGCCCAACGTCAATCGTACCGACGTGCGCACTGCGCTGCTTTTTACTGCGCCGGGACTGCATCGCGAAGGCTTTGGTGGGGGGCTGTTCTTGCGCTGCAAGGGGCCATCCGGGAAGCTTGGCCGTCACGTGGCGCCCCCACCCCTGCGCGCCTCACTGCCTCAATGCCACACCGGGCAGCAGGCCAGCGCAGGACGTGAGCAGGGCGTGTGTGGGGCGCGTCTGCGATCGCTTTCGGGGTGGCTCTCAAGCGCGCTTCTCTTGCCCTCCTTGAATCAGCACCGCATTATGGCGACGACTCTTGGGACGACTTTTTCGTACTTTGATGCGGCTGCGTGCCACTGGGAGTCCACTGTTTCAGCCTGGGGGATAGGGTCGGCGCCCTGCCTCGCCAGCCGCGACAATACGGCCGACAGGCTGGCTCGGCTGCGCTGGCTCGGCTGCGCTGCCACCGAGCACGCGTGCTCGTCCCCGTGATGCCGCACCAGCTCAGTAGCCAGCGCATGTGGCCAGGCATGGAGGGGGTGCAAACTGCTCAACAGCGCAAGGTGCAGTTTGGACGGGGGTAAAGCAGTGCTGGCTGTGCGCCGCCCCAGGCCCGGCCCAATTGGTTAGCACCGCAACTCCTTGCCCCCCTTGTTGTGTGCGACACCTCTCCTGTTGCGAGGTCGGCGAAGCGGCGTGCCTGGGGTCGCAGCCTCAGGACACAGCCACTGCAAGATAAGAACGCTCGCAGCAACCGGCGCGGACGCGTCACGTGCGCCTACTGTTCTGCAGCTTCCCGGTGCTGCCAGAGCACCCCTGCATGTTTTCACACAAACAGATGTGGCCCGATGCGCCCCGCACCACTGCTTTTGCGTACTGCGTGTCGTTCCGGGGCCTGTGGGCCAGCACTCGATTGTGCACCACCACCCTGCCATGTTGCTTGTTCCCGCACTCGCATATACACCATATGACACACTGTCCCACCCGCAGAAACCATGCACGATTTGGCACGTACTGCCCCATGCTTGCTGCTGACTGCACCCAGAGAACACGGAGCGCCCAGGTCTGCGCACCGCTTCTAGCCGGCTGCGTGGCTCCCGCTTGCACCCTGGCTGCGTGCCCCAACCCCTCCATTGAGTAGAGCCAAGCGCCCACGAGGCCCGGCGGGATGCGGCGGGGTGCTGCGGGGGCTGGACCGGCTACAACAACCGCGCCCCTGGCAGGGCGTGCCTTGCCGCGTGCCCAGGGGGCAGCGCTCGGCTTCGTCCAGCTGCCGTGAACCCTGCACTGCAGACCACCAGGCCCTTCCCCTTGCAGCCAGGCCAGCAGCAGCACCTAAACCCTTGGGCGTTTGTGTTGGCCGCTTCTTGGCCTGGTCATGACACTGTGTCGCACAGAGGCGCATGCCGCAACTGTGTTGGAACGCACCAGCATTAAAGCTGACAAATCCGTTGCCGGGTGGGTCTTGATTACAGAAAGCAAGCCAAGTTTTATGTGTAACTGCGGGATACGACTCCAGCATCACATGCAGGTGCAGGCACTTGATGAGGGTGCCCTGGCAGGCAGCGGGCTGCACCCATCAGGGCCACGCCCTGCAATCATGCGCCAAGTGTATGTCCCTCGCCTACCCCATGCTCAGATACGTCGGGCGCCAGCGGGATACTGCTGCTAGGGTACAGGAGTGACCCGAGTGCTGTTGCGCGGCGCTGCGCTGCGACAAGGCTGCCCTGGCGCTGGGCCAGCAGCACCATCAAGTGCCCAGCCTTGAGCTTGGCGGCCTGCGGACGGTGCGGCGTTGTGGGTGTAAGCATGTGTGCGCTTTCATATGTGTGTGAGGTGCGGGGTGCGCTTTCAGGTTGTGCTTTCTCGCGCCACATGCTTGCCTCGTAGGTGTCAAGGCAGGTGTTGCCCCATGGCAGCGCCACGACCATGGCCAACCCCATGCCCTTTGGGACTCGCCTGAATGTGCCCTTGACAGGCCTCGGCGCCCTCCCACCCCATCAACATCTGCGACACCACGGCGTGCGTGTGCGCTGCACGATCTGCTCCAGCTTCCGCAGAGGGGCTGGTGGCGCCCCCGCTTTCACCACCACCTTGCACCCTGGCGCTGGCGCCCAAGATCGAGCGACCGACAGCTGCCAGGCCGGCGGCCCCAGCCTTGAGCGGCCACCAGGAGGCCTGCCACGGTGCCGCCTCCTCATGCTGGTCGGGTGCTGCGTCAGCAGCCAGCTCAGCGCAATCCACGCCGTCAGGAGCTCCTGTAGCGGGCGTCCTGGTTGCGCCCCGGGACGCGTTGATCTCCGCTGGCAGCCGGTCCGTTTCCACAGGGAGGCCCCACAGCTGGCCCAGCTGCGCAAGGTCATCGTGCGCAGCCTCGTGCCGCGCCGCCAGCCGCCAGAGGAGCGCAGTCTGCTCCTCAGCGGCCGACAGGGCCACGTCGGTAGCAGCCAGGAGCCCCAGCAGCCGCACCACCTTGGCACGGGCCGCCTGGCGGGGCCGGGAGCGTTTTAGCGTTGGGTGGGGGGGTGGAGTGGGGGGTTGTGGTGCGGCCGCAGCGGCAACCATGCGCTGGCTGCAACCTGTCAAGGGCTGTATGGGGGCGGTGGCGCCGTGGCCAGTGAGGCAGGATTACTCCTGAGGCAGTCACACACACAGACACACACAGACACACACACACACATACACACACACACACCTGCAGGCGTCCGCGCAGCCCCGCCGCCGTCTTGAACTCCTGTAGGAGGGCTATCACCACCTCCAGCTCAACAGAAGCCGCGGCAGATGGCGCAGCGGCAACAGGCACGGGCATGGGGAGCGCGCCAGCTGGCAGTCTGTTGAGTGCATGGGTAGCAGGTTCGTGTGTCGTTGCAGGCGGGCCGGTTGCACGTGAACCAAGCATTTTTGTGTGTTTCCTGTATGCAGACATGCGCATTGTTGTGTAGTTGTATGCTTGGTGAAGGTTTTGTTTCACAAGCACGTGCGCGTGTGTGCATGTGTACAGGTGTGTGAGTGTGCGCGCGTGCACGGGCTTGGCATTGCACTGTGCAGCACTGGACAGGCGGGATGATGCTTCTATCAGGGGCTCATGCAAGCTCCACCAGCAGTGTTGCAATCCGCCTGCCCCTGCTGCACCACAATCGCTGCCCGGCACGCTCACAGGCCGGTGCGCCCGCAGCCCCAACAGCCCACCTGGACAGAGCGGCCGCCAGCGCCCCCGCCGCCAACCCGTCCGCCTCGTGGCGCGCCGCTGCGAGCTCGGCCTGCGACGCTGCCAGCTCGCCCCTGAGCGCTCCCAACTGTTCGCGGCTCGCCGCCTCTGATGCCCTCTGCTCCTCCCTGGCGCGCTCCAGCTGCACCCGCGCGTCCCCTGGCTCCAGCCTCGCCGCCCGCGGCCTCAGCAGCGCAAAATTCAAGCGCGGCGCCAGCGCGTGCGCCCGCCGCTGCCAGCGTCGCCGCTGCTGCTGCTGTCCAGTCCCTCGCTCTTGCTGCACACGCTGCTGCCCCAAAACGTATCTGGTATCTGTAGTGTCGGCAGCCAGGCTGCCTCGCTGGTTGCCCTGCGCCTCGCGGCGCGGGCTGCTGTCGCCACTGAATGCGTGTGATGAGCCGACGAACGCCACGCCCGAACCGGTGTGGCTGCGCCGCCCTGCACGCCGCCTCGCGTGGACAGCCCCCCATTTGCCCGCGCCAGCGCGGCCGTTGTCGGCCACGGGGCCGTCGCCGGTGCGCTCGCCGCGGCCATTCCCGCCATTCCCGCCGCCGTCCTCCCCAGCCGCCTCCTGCTCGGCCCTGGTGGGTTCGGCTGCGGCGGCCTCCAGCCGTTCGTGCAGCGCGCTGATGTCAGCATCCCGCGCGTCCACCATGCCCGTCAGCCGCCCCAGCAGTGCCAGCGCCTCAGACAGCTGCGCCAGGCCCTCTGTGTTGGCCGCGGCCCCGGCCGAGCCCGCGACGTAGTCGGCGCTGATGGCGGTCTCGCTGGCGAGGTCGACGGTGGCGCCGGCGGAGGCGCCAGACCGATGCGCGGCAAGCAGAAGGCCCTCCAGCTCAGCCAAGGCCACCCGCCATTCTCCAGCGGCTGGCACTGCGCCGTCGGCCGGCGCCGCGCCGGTGCCAGCATCACCAGCGCGAGCCGCCCGCGGCACCGGGGCACGCCCAGCAGCGGCGTGCGGCCGCGCCGCCTCTGCGCGGGCTTCCTCCGCGGCCTCGGCCGCGGCAGACGCCCGCGCCTCTGCTGCGGTCGCCGCGAGCGACGCGGCCTCCAGCTCTGTATGCAGCGCCGCCACCCTCTCCGCCGCGGCCGCCTCCGCCTGCGCCAGCCTGGTTGCCGCAGCCCCCTCGGCTGCCGCAAGGCCCGCAGCCGCGGCCGCACCGCGCACACGCTCCTCCCGCAGGTCCCTGGCCAGAGCCCCGCGCACCCCTTCTGCCTCAACCAACGCCGCTTGCGCCACCGCCAGCGCAGCCGCACTGGCGTCGCGCTCGCGCGCCGCCGACTCCGCCGCCGCATGTGCAGCCGCGGCCGCAGCCTCCATGCGTGCGAGCGCGGCGCGCGCGAGGGCCTCGCCGCCAGACGCGGCGGCGGCGGCCGCCTCGAGCGCCTCGCAGCGCCGCTGCGCCTCCGCTAGCGCCTCGCTGCCCAGCGCCGCGCCACCCTCGGCCCCTGTCGCGTCCGACTGCATCTGGCCCACACTGGCTGCAGCCCAGGCCGCCGCGTCGCGCGCCCGCAGCAGCCGCAGCTCCTCCTCCTGGGCCACCAGGGCAGCGCCCAGCGGGCCGCGCGCCTGCATCGCCGCCGCCAGCGCGGCCTCGTACTGCCCGGGGCCGACCGGCACCCGCGGCAGCTGCGCGGCGGCTTCCCTCCGCGCGGCGGACGCCGCTTCCACGTCCGCCGTCAGGCCGGCCACCTGCGCCTCCAGCAGCGCGCCGCGCGCCTCTTGCGCCCGCAGCTCGCCCTCCGCCGCCGCCAGCGCCCCCGCTGTCGCCTCGCCCCGCTGCCGCTCCCCCTCCAAGTCGCCCCGCGCCTCTGACAGCAGCGATCTCAGCCGCCCGGCCTCGGCCGCGCGCTCGGCGGCACCGGCGGCCGCCGCCGCCAGCAGCGCCTCTGCCGCGCCGCCCACTGCCTCCCATTGCGCCGCCAGCGCCCGCAGCAGGCCGAAGCCGGCCAGCTCCTGCGCCGCGCTGGGCCCGGCCTTGTCTGCCGCGTCTGCAGAGTCGCGCCTGGACGCCGCCGCCTGCGCCCGCCGCTCCAGCGCAGCCACGACCTCTGCCAGCCGCGCCGCCTCGCCCTCAGCCGTCTGCAGGCGCCGCTCCAGCGCGGCCGTGCGCTCGTCGCCGTCGGCGCGCGCGACGCGCTCGGCCTCCAGCGCCTCCGCCGCCGCCCGCTGAGAAGCTTGCAGCGCCGCAGCTGCGGCTGTCTCGGCGCCGGCGCGCTCCGTCGCCAGCGCATCGGCCGCGGAGCGGCGAGCAGCCTCGAGCCGCGCGGCGCGCGCGTCGCTGTCGGCGCGCGCCTGCCTCTCTGCGCGGAGCGCCTCACCTGCCGCATCGCGCTCTGCCTCCAGGGCTGCGGCGCGCATCTGCAGCGCCGCCAGGCTGGCTTCGCGGCTCTTCAGGGCGGAGGCGTGCTGGGCCGCGGCGCGATGCAGCTGCTCAGCGCTGCCGTCCAGGACAGCAGCAGCCTGCGCACCAGCATGGAAGAATCGTGGTATAAAGCCTTGCTTCACAGGCACCAGGGCCCCATTTTGAGCGGTCGACAACAGCAGGTGCAGCTTCAGTCAGCATGTGCCGGCCTGCCGTGCCATTCCTCCCCCCAACACGCTGGTGACCGTTGCAAACCCACCTCAGAGCGAGCCTCCGCCAGCAATCCCTCAGCCCGAGCTGCCCGCTCCTCAGCATCCTGCGCGCTGGCTGCAGCCGCTGCCGCTGCCTGCACCGCCGCCACCACGTGTGCCTCTGCCGCGCCGCCCGCCGCCTCCCACTGTGCCGCCAGCACCCGCAGCAGGCCAAACCCGGCCAGCTCCTGCGCCGCGCTGGGTCCCGCCCTGTCTGCGGCGTCCGCAGAGGCGCGCCTGGACGCCGCCGCCTGCGCCTGCTGCAACGCCGCCAGCTCACCCTGCAGTCGAGCAGCCACCTCAGCGCCCTCCCGCAGCCGCCGCTCCAGCTCCGCCGCCGCCGCCCCCGCATCTACGCCCGCCCGCCTCTCCGAGGCGAGCGCCGCGGCCGCGGCCTGCCGCGCCTCGTCCAGCCGCGCGGCCTGCAGCTGCAGCGCGTCCAGGCGGGCGTCGCGCTCCTGCAGGGCCGCGGCGTGGGCGGCCTCGGCCGAGCGCAGCCGCCGGGCGTCTTCCTCACGCAGCAGGGCGGCCTGCAGGAAAGAGGACAGCGAGGGTGTGCGGGGGGGGGGGGTTCAGGGCAGGGTCACAGCTGGAGGGCGAGTGGGGGTGACGGAGGCCTCATGCATCATGCAGCACCGGAGGGTTTTCCAGCAAGAACTATCAACCTCGCGACGCCAGCACCACGCGCGCTGTGCCTGCACAGCAGTCATGAGGGGAAGCACGTGAGCGAGCCCCGAGGCCGCCAACGCGGCCATGCCTGCGCCGCACCTGACAGGTCGCCGCGTCCAGCAGGGCGCCCCGCAGCGCCCCTGCCCGCGCCTCTTCACGCATCGCCTCGCGGGCCGCGGCCGCCTCTGCGCTTGCCGCCGTGGCGGCAGCCTCGGCAGCCGCCAAGCTGGCACGGAGCGCGGCCGCCGCGGCATCGGCCGCTGCCGCTGCGCTTGACGCCTCCAGCAAGCCGCGTGCCGCGGCAGCGTCCGCCTGGGCCCCGGCTGTGCGCAGCGCCGCCGCCTCTGCCTCGGCCGTCGCCCTCTCGCGGCCGGCCAGGTCCAGCGCTGCCCCCACTGCTTCAAGCTTGTCCATGAGGGCGGTGATGATGGCCTGGGGCGTTGTGAGGGACGAGGCGTGGTGGGTGGCGGCTTTGCCAGGCAGGAGCAGAACGCATTGGTTGGGGAGGACGGCTGCACTGGGTAGGCTTAAGGACGGCGCTGCAGCCTGCCTGGGGCGCGTGCCCGCACATGCATCTCCTCGCCATCAGCAGTAAGATTCGGCATGAGTCCGGTTCCCCCCCCAATCCACCCCCCCACCTCCTTCTCGCTCAGCAGCGCCGCCTGCGCCTCGGCCTGCTTGCGTGCCGTGTCCTCCCCTGCTGCCAGCTGCTGCTGCAGGCCTTGCAACGCCGCCTGGAGCGACGACAGGGGCAAAGACGGCAACTGGTTCACATTGTTGCAGCACGTCACATACTCCATTTACCTCCCCCTATCTCCCTCCTCTCCTATCCGTCCTCAGCCCTCCTCCTGAATCCTGAGCTCCTTTTCAAAAAACCAAATCACAGCATTTTTGTCCTCAGTTGCCATCCTGCGGCACGTGCCCAACACATGCCAGTCGCCTGAAGCACCTTGCCGCCCCTCCCAACACCAGCGCGCACCTCTTTCTGCAGCAGCGACCACGTGGAGCGCTGCGCCCCCGCCTCCGCCTCCGACAGCTCTTCACCCAGCGCAGCCTCGGCCGCCGCAGCTGCCGCCAGCTGCCCCCTCAGCTCCGACAGCTGAGCATCCCGCGCAGCCACCTCTCGCCGCAGCGCGGCCGCCACCTCCGCTTCTGCCGCTGCAGCAGCCTCTGCGACGCGCGCCGCGCTGCGTGCGGCCTTGGCGTCGGCCTCGGCGGCCGCCGCGCGCGCGTTGGAGTGTTGCTGGGAGGCGGGGGC